CAATTTCCCGCAAATTTCTTTATATAGAAACAAGCAAACAGTAACAGATAATAAATGCACCTCCTTTATAGTCTTGCAGAAAATGGAGCATGCTCTACTGTATTGCAGAAAATGGAGCATGTTCTACAGTCTTACAGTAAATGGAGCATGCTCTACTGTATTGCATTTCATTCAGCATAACATCATAAAACTCATTCTGCATAACCAAAAGGAGTAACTGACATTTTCAACATCAGTGCATCATATTCTGTCACATAGATACACCATAATGTATCTAACAGTTGCCCCCTTGAATTAACATTTGGGTCTTTTACCCCATTCATATTTTCATATGATTATAAACATGCTATATGTAGAACTGACTTATATGAATATGCATATACTTTTCTGTTTTAGAAGTTTATTTTATGTGCATGGGTAAGTTTTGTCTACAAGTATATCTGTGATATATTACTGCAACAGTGGCATAAATGTTATGGGACTAACCAACCACTTCATGAGATGGAATCCATATTTGACAATGTTAATAAAGCCAAGAATTTGAAACTAGATAGGTTATGTGTGCATGTTTGGTTATGGTTTGGTAGTTTCTTTTTGTTTTTATTTTCATAATGAGAGAAAGAAAATTAATTTGGTGGGCAGAAAAAGGAGAAGGATCTAGGAGGACTTGGGGGAAGGGAAAGAATGATTAAAATAAATATATTCTATGAAAAAACTTTAAAAATAAAAAATATAAAAATATTTTATATACATGAATGTTTTGTCTGCATGTATATCTGCATAACATGTGTGAGCCTCATGACCTTAGAGGTCATCAGACCTCCTGGAACTGAGCTTAGAGGCAGTTGTGAACCACCAGGGTGCTGGGAATTGAAATCAAGTTGTCTAGAAGAGCACCCAGTGCTCTTAACTGCTGAGTCATGTCTCTAGCCCCATTTATACTTAAGGACATGTGCATATTTATCTATAGGATAACTTCCATTAAAAAAGTTATTGTCTTACAGGATGATTGAAAATTTAGGCAGGTAGTGTCTAATTCTCTTCTATAGAGTTTGTTCTATTTTATACCACCAGCAACGATGCTTCAGTTCTCGCTCTCTCTTTCTCTCTGCATGTGTGCACGTGTATGTGCATGTGTGAGTCTATGTCACACGGGTGCAAGTGCCCATAGTCGACAGAAGAGGGTACCAGACCTCAATGAACGAGAGTTACAGATGGTTGTGACCTATCTGGTATGGGTGCTGGGAACCAAACCTGGGTCTTCTGCAAGAGAAAGTGCTCTTAGCCATGGAGTCATCTCTCCAGCCTAAACTCCAATTCGTAATATCAAAATAACGGGCTCTATGACTTTACCATGAACCTCTAAAAGAAAGAAGCTCTATTTCTATAGAAGCCACTAAAATAGAAGGCACAGAAATGATATGGGGTGCACTTACTGTTAAGAAGCTTACATAGGCTCAAAATGTGAAGAATGCATGAAGGAGCCCATGCAAGAGGTTTTGCTGAGCTCCATCCCCATATCAGAATTCAAGTATTCTGTCTCCTAGATGTGTGCCATCACTGCAACGCAACAGGGTCCTTCCTATAACTAATACAGTGAGTGCTGTGATGTCCTTTGTGGGTAGCACTGGCAGGCTGGACCAAAACAGTGGTAGGGCAGATGGCAAAGGGTCTGACTCAGGAGAAGTCATTTAGCAGAATTGACTGTGATGGAGAAGGAACTCCCGAGCCTTTTTGGACTGCCGTAAGGTTTAAAAGGAACAATATTTAGAAGAATATTTAATATATAATAGGCTTCAACACCAACTTTCTTCTTTGCCTTTCTGAAAATATCAAAGAATTAAGAAGGAAACCCCAAGCAAGGACTTCCAAGCAGGATTTATGTCACAACTTCCATACAGTAAAACTACCTTACTATACTCATAAAAGCTCTTAGGATGTATTTAGAATTCATTTACATGAAATTGAAAAAAATGCTGTGTTGTTTAGCTTTTCATTCCACATAGTAGTAGAAACATAGGGTCAAATCATTAACTGATTGAATTACAGAAAGCAAAGGTTAAAAGACCAGGAAAAAGGCACATTAGCACTACAACAAAGGCGCTTAGTAGGCCTGAGTGGACACCTTGCACAATGTCACCTCAAGTCAAACTGTCAAGAAAAGGTTAATAGAAGAGAAAGGATTTACCAGGTGAAAGTGGGTGGTAAAGCATGTGCTTAGCATGTATCAGGCCTTGAGTTTAATTCTCAGTATCAAAATAGAGAATTAATAGACCTCAAATTAAAAGGTTACCTATCTCCCTGTATGAAGAAAGTAGGCCAATGAGGTACTTTTACTTACCCTTCTCTCTACAATTTAAATGGGTGAGATGTCTCTGTAACACATCAATGATTTTATGAAGATTTACATCATCAAATATAAAATATAATTTTGACCCTCAATTTTAAATCTTAGTTACCCATAAAATTGGCCATCCACTCTTTCATCTATTTTACTGAGAACTGCTAAACATACACAAAAACACTTAAGTGACCTAAAATTATAGGTTAAAAGTACCATTCATAGAATGGGCTAAATTCATATTAATCTTTCAGTAAGTCTTTGTGGTAGGTTTATTATCATTGTAACTGACTTTAATTTTAGAACCCTCTGGAATGGAGAATATATTCACCCCTTCCAAAACAGACAGAATATAAAATTGTTGAGTCAGCAATTACAAAGTTGAAATCCCTTGAAAAGACAGAATCTTACATTTCTATTTGAAATTTCAATTGCGACACTTTTTGACTCATAGTCTCTTTTGTCAGCCGTAGTGAGTATAATTTACTTAGCTAATTTCACTAGTAGATTCTGTTCTTTCAGGGCACAGAGAAATAAGAATCATAAATTTGCTATTACTGCCTGCTTTTGTATCTAATTTCATAGCCTCACAGTTTAAAAAAAGAAAATATATTTAAAAGTACAAATTAATTGCACTCATTTTCTGGAAGTATTTCAACATGATTTCTTTTATTAGAGCCACCAAATCTATTTCATGGAGTTTATGTAGATATATATTGGCATGATGCAGACGTAACAGTAACAATAATGGCAACAATAACAAGGCAGTTGCCATTTATTTATTGATTAGTGCCTACATGGTATCATGTTGAGAGCTTTGAATAGATTATTACTATTATAGATTATTACTGAGCACATTTTAAAAGAAGGAAGTATTATTATTCCCATTATATAAAGTTGAAAACTGAGGTTTAAAGAGATTATCTTGTTTATTCATGTTACCAATTTAATGGAACTAGAATTCAACATATGCATTTAAGTTGTTTCAAATCCAGTAAAGAAATAATCTGTCATCTATATGCAAAACAATTTCTTTTACCTGTTAGCTTGGTTTTATTACCCTAGCAAGTAAAAGGATTAAGCTAGTAAGAAGCAAGAGATAGTTATGTGGTTTTTTTAAAAATGTAGATTTTTGAATCACTTTCTCTAATGTGTGTGTAATATCCTCTTCAATTTGTCTTTCAACCTTTATAGGGTTTATTTTGGTATATATACTCATGAAAACTTGTGTCCTACAATGGGGTATTCTCATCTTTCAAGGAGACTCTCAAAAGTCGAGTAGTTCTTACAGTGTTAAATGTCATATGTACCAGAATGACTACTAAAGCTGTCAAAGTAACTCTTTCTACAGAACTTCAATATTATAAACATATTATCTATTTGTTTTCTTAGCATTCCTGAAAAAGCTATTGCCATTATTAGGCAATATTTCCATTATTATTAAAGGAAAGTGGTTAAAAAATCTACAGAGGTTGATGAGAAAACACCAGTGCTTTCTCTTCACCCTTTTCTCTTCAAAATGCTTGTTTTAACTCATCAGTAACAATCAAGTAGTTTGCTGTGTCTTCCACTGAAGGAGCATTGTAATTCAAATCCATTCAGTGCTGCCTCACTTGTGCAATTTGTTAGCCAAGATTTCATAGTGTCCTCTGCACCTATTTTAATGATATAGCACATTAACAACATTTCCACTCACTTACAGCCATGTTTACTAACAGAGCCTTAGCACCTCCCCAAAAAACCCTCAAAGACCAGTTTCACACATTCAAATTGTCTGAACAAGTAATTGATACGTACAGCATTAAGCTCTTTTTCAAATCAAGGTCTTTGCAGAGTTTTAGAATTATGTTTAAAAAAAAAAAGGTTGGTAGAAGTATGTTTGATTGTGCAGAAAACACTCAAGGTCATAAGATGCCCATCCAATTTTTGCTATAACATGAAAGAGGTAACCAGGCTGATTTCTAGAGTTTTTTTTTTTCTTTCTCTCTTTTTTGAATTTTCTTGAGGGAACGTTGGAAACTTTATTACAAAAGATGGGAAACTTATCAAGTGATAGGAAAATCAGGAGATCAATAGAGCTTAGAGGTGCCTAAATATAAGTGAAAATCAGTAAGTTTGTGGAAACTATACTGACTTATGTAATTTTTTTTAAAGCCCCTCAAGATAAGAAAACAACACGGATGTAAGAGAAAAAAAAGAAAAACAGCCCAAGAGGTGAGACAGTCATTTTGATGGGGGGGGGGGGGGTGTCTAACTACACAATGAGGTCATCCTATCTCCCGGAAGTGACAAGTAATCACCTGCTTTGCACTAGCTCCGCCCCTTCCCTCAGAGGTCCCGCCCCTCCGCCAGAAGCCGGCCGGGTGTTAGGGGGCGTTTCTCCCAGAGCAAAGCTGAGAGCTGCAACGCAGAGGAAGGGGACCCCAAAACGTCTGGCACTGCCTCCTCCAGGGAACACTTTGGACCGCCTCACTCAGCCCAGCGGGATTCTGAAACGCCGAGGGGTCAACCTGATGGGTTTCGGGGTCAACGGAAGAGGGGAAGGGGAGCCCTGGCGGGGAGAACCCCCCGGTCCCCCGCCCAGCAGCTGAGGCACAGGAGGGCGGCCATCTTGGCCGGCAGGGTAGGGCCAGGAGGCTGCGGGCGCCGTGCGATTGGGGGGCTCGCCCGGAAGTGACGCCACCCGCCCGGAAGCGGAGGGGGTTCCCTGGCCCACTCCCCCCCCCGTTCGTCTGCTCCCCCGCTTCCTCCCCGCCCCCCTTCCTCTCCATTCGTTCCCCCCCTCCCCGGTCCCTGCCTTCTCCCCCCCACCCGTCCCTCCCCCCCCAACCTCCGGAGCTGGGAAGAGAGTCAAGATGGCGGCGAAATCCGATGGCGGTGGCGTGGGGGTGGGCTTCGCCCAGCTGCACAACCTGGACGAGGCGGTGGGCAGCGGCGAGGAGGACGGGGAGCCCGGGGGAGGCGGCTGCGGCGGCGGCGACGGCAGCGAGCCCGGCGAGAGCAGCTCGCTGCACATCTGCCACTGCTGCAACACCTCCTCGTGCTACTGGGGCTGCCGCTCCGCCTGCCTGCGCTCGCTGCTGGGCAAGAAGCCGCGCCGCAGCGCCGCCGCCGCCGACGGGGGGGACCAGCCTCTGCAGCCGCCCGGGGCCGCCGGCCGCCACCCCCCGACGCCCTCGGCCGGCCGACCGCAGCCCGCGTCGCCGCAGGTGGAGCGGCCGTGGCTCGACTGCCTGTGGATCGTGCTGGCGCTGCTGGTGTTCTTCGGGGACGTGGGTACCGACCTGTGGCTGGCCCTCGACTACTACCGCAAGGGGGACTACGGCTGCTTCGGGCTGACCCTGTTCTTCGTGCTGGTGCCGTCGCTGCTGGTGCAGAGCCTGAGCTTCCGCTGGTTCGTGCAGGACTACACGGGCGGCGGACTGGGCGCCGTGGAGGGGCTCAGCAGCCGGGGACCCCCAATGATGGGGGCCGGCTACGGCCACGGCGCGGCCCGCGGCGCCCCGGGTGCGGGGGGCTCGGCCACCCCGGGGGCGCAGCGTCTGTGCCGCCTCTCCGTGTGGATCTGGCAGTCGGTCATCCACCTGCTGCAGATGGGGCAGGTGTGGAGGTAAGAGCACTGCGGGGTGGAAGGGGGGGGGGCTGCGGCCGCGCGCGGACCCCTCGGACGGGCCGGGCTGGGTTGAGCGGGGTAGCCGCGCGCTGTCCTAGCATCTCGCGACGGTCAATAGGATGTCTGCTGGCCACGCCTTTTGGCCCAGGGGAGGCCCCTGTTTGCCCATCTCCTTCCCCGGGTAGCATTTGGAGGGGATCCTGCCTCTGCCCTCCCTCTTCTCTGCAGACCTCCATCCAGGTTGCCCCTTAACGCCCCCGTGTCCCAAGGTAACCGGCGCTCGCTCTCTGCAGCCCAGCGCTCATCCTGGAGGGAACCTGGCTTTCTCCAGCCGGTTGCCCTCGGCCTTGTCCCCCTCCACCCCCCCACCTCCCCTTCCCCGAGAGACATTTCCTTTCTCCCCCACCTCCCGTTTTCTCTCTGCAGTGGCCGGTGTCTGGCCTCTCCTTAAAGCACTCCTTCCTTTCACGCCCCTCCTCCTCCTGCAGCCCCAGCCCCTGCTAACAGCTCCACACCTCTGCCCTCCTTGAAGGAAAAATGACTTTTTTTTTTCTGGTGTAGATGTGCCCTTTTGCAGTGACTGGGAAAAAATGAGATGCTATCTAATGGCAGCAAACATTTGATGTTAACTCTCACCTCTGGAAAATCACTGAGCCACTTGGGCACCTATTCTGTTTTTAATGGCCAGGCCTATGTGCGATTTCTGTTTACATCCAAGATGCAAGCTTGGCCTCAAGGCCCCTTTCCTCCCTCTGTAAAGTCCTGGTGCGTCAGGTGCATCTCTCGAAACCACTCACTAAGGAACCTTAACTGTGTACCTCACCGACTGGCTACCCCACCGACTGCCTCGTTAACTGTCTACCTTACCGTCCATCTCTCTGACTGATGGCTTCACTGTTTACATCACTGCCTCGCTGACTACTTTAACTCTTTACCTCGCTGACTACCTTCATTGTCTGCTTGCCTCCTCACTGTCTACCCTCACTGACTGTCCCAGTGCCTGACTCCCTCACTGTTTACATCACTGCCTCATTGACTACCCTTATGGTCTGCCTCACTGATGATCTCACTGTCTTACTCTCTGACGACCTCACTGACATGCTACCTCACTGGCAGGCTACTCACTGACAGGCTACCTCACTGGCAGGCTACCTCACTGACAGGCTACCTCACTGACAGGCTACCTCACTGACAGGCTACCTCACTGACAGGCTACCTCACTGACAGGCTACCTCACTGACAGGTTACCTCACTGACAGGCTACCTCACTGACAGGCTATCTCACTGACAGGCTACCTCACTGGCAGGTTACCTCACTGACAGGCTATCTCACTGACAGGCTACCTCACTGACAGGCTACCTCACTGACAGGCTACCTCACTAACAGGCTATCTCACTGACAGGCTATCTCACTGGCCGGTTACCTCACTGACAGGCTACTCTTTGGCAGGCTACCTCACTGGCTACTGCACTGGCTACCCTCCTTGCCTCATCCACTGACAGGCTACATCACTGGCTACCCCACTATCTACCTTTTCCACTGCCTGTCTACCTCACTAGCTCAACCAGCTAGATTTCTTCACTGTCTCTCTGACCACTTCACTAACTGATTGTTTCGCTGGTTGCATCATTCTCTCACTACCGTCCCTGTTTACTTCTCTGTCTTCATTGCCTGCCTCACTGTCTACCTCATTGTTTACCTCAATGATTACCTTCACTGCTTACCTGACAGAGGCGTTGTTTGCCTCACCGGCTTACCATCTGCTGACTGTCTCAGAGTCTGTCTGCCTACTGAGTCCCTCACTACGACTGCCTTAGTACACCATTACCTTCACTGTCTGCTGACTAGCTCACTGTCTACCTACCCGCCTCACTGGCTGCCATTGCTCTTCTCCCTGACCATCTCCCCGTCTACTTGAATGTCTGCTGATTATCTCACTGTCTACTGACTGCCTTGCTGTCTGCCTCACTGCCTGGCTGCCTGGCTGTTTCCTTTCACCATTTACCTCACTGACTGACTACTGTCGCTGTCTACCTCACTGACCGTCTACTGTCAGTGTTTACCTCACTGGCTACATCAGGAAACCATTGAAACCTTAGTCACCCTGTGCCCTCCGACTTATATCAGCTTCAGTGTGTTCTGGAACCAATGACTTTGTCAGTGACAACATTTGCAAGGGGAACAGTTTTTCTAGTAAAGCCTACACCAGGATGAATCCTTTTGCTACATTTCCTCTGAGGAGACTGGTCTAGACTTCTATGCCAAGTAGGTACCAGACCTCAGTACCTCAGCTGATAAAACTGTACTCGGGTTAGATGAAAGAAAGTTTGTGTTTTGAATGTTTTCTTCTGATCTCTTCTGACTCATCAGAACATCTCAGAAAGCGTGAGACTGAATTAAAGCCTTGTCCTGAAGAGTTGACGTTCTGATTCATGGAAAAGCTCACTTTCATGAGACTGATCTTGGTTTTCCAGGTTAATCCCAGTGACTATTTCTCTAGCTGCATTCGTCTGCAGATAATTTGTTTCCTGCTGATAAAAATTTACAAACAGGAGATTAAAATTTTTTGTTATGAGCATAGCTCAAATAACATTTTCAAAATAAATCTTAAATTTAAAATTTTAACCCCTTCCCTTAAATAATTGATGCTGAATCAAAGTGTGCTTGGTATTGGGGATATAGTTGTTCAGTCTGTTGGAGACTGCTATGAAAAGTGGGGGTCAAAAAGTATGGGTCTGAGAGCTATCTTGAACTGTTAGTAGGGATTTTACAGCATGTATTTAATAACTAGGCTTCTGTTTGAACAAACTGAAATTACTGTCTCCTGGTCTCGTGTAGTGCCATGTTAATTTTTCTGGGAGAATTAATTCTCATGTGTTCTATTCCATTATTTGGAAGTAAACTTTTGGGACCAATGAAATTAGAGTTCAGTGTCAGTATTTTCTGTCAGGAAAATCTCCCTTGCCCCATGCCTCTTTTAGCCAAACTTAATTGTGTCTGTGCAAAGTTGAAGTCTAGATTATGGGACAAACCGAAAAGTTTTAGATTTAGCTTGTAGAATTTAAATGGGGTGCTGTATTTGCTCCCCCATCTTCATTTAACTTTTCAAAGTCTTCACTGGAAAGAAATTATGGAAGATGCCTGTGCTTTTAGTATGTCAAACTTTCAGATTGGATTTTATCTTTACATAGCTCATAGAGTTACAATATTAAAAGACAGAATGATTCAGCTAAGCTGTTTCATCTGTGTTGCTCCATTTCTAAAGCAGCATTTACTGGGGAAGGATTTTCATTTTTTATTTTTGGACTGATTTTGCTTGAAATGCTCCCAGAACAAGGTCTGCTCATTAATACCTGCTAGGCATGTTGTTTGCATTGAAATCATTCATGTGGAAGAGCTTGTGAGAAAGGTTTTCGCTCTTTTCTTGTTTCTACCTCTTGGCAAATGGTTGCTTGTCAACATATATAAGCACCCGTTGACTCAGTCCTTTACTGCAGGTCTTTGGGGTTCTATTTGTTTCCTTTATCACATTTGTGACCCAAATTGTGCTATTTCATGTGGTTACATGCGATCCTGGTTAGGAAATTTATCATTTGATTTGGGCCATGTTTCTAAGAAAAGTTATCTGTTAAGTTTCATATTGTCAAAATCAATTCCATTAAACACTGACTGAATACTTTTTTTTTAATTTATGTATTTATTAAAGATTTCTGCCTCCCCCCCCCACCGCCTCCCATTTCCCTCCCCCTCCCCCGATCAAGTCCCCCTCCCTCGTCAACCCAAAGAGCATTCAGGGTTCCCTGACCTGTGGGAAGTCCAAGAACCACCCACCTCCATCCAGGTCTAGTAAGGTGAGCATCCAAACTGCCTAGGCTCCCCCAAAGCCAGTATGTGCAGTAGCCAGTATGTGCAGTAGGATCAAAAACCCATTGCCATTGTTCTTGAGTTCTCAGTAGTCCTCATTGTCCGCTATGTTTAGCAAGTTCGGTTTTATCCCATGCTTTTTCAGACCCAGGCCAGCTGGCCTTGGTGGGTTCCCGATAGAACATCCCCATTGTCTCAGTGTGTGGGTGCACCCCTCGAGGTCCCGAGTTCCTTGCTCGTGCTCTCTCTCCTTCTGCTCCTGATTTGGACCTTGAGATTTCTGTCCGGTGCTCCAATGTGGGTCTCTGTCTCTTTTCATCACCTGATGAAGGTTAATATTCAGGAGGATGCCTATATGTTTGTCTTTGGATTCACCTTATTATTTAGCTTCTCTAGGATCGCGAATTATAGGCTCAATGTCCTTTATTTATGGCTAGAAACCAAATATGAGTGAGTACCTCCCATGTTCATCTTTTTGGGTCTGGCTTACCTCACTCAGGATAGTGTTTTCTATTTCCATCCATTTGTATGCAAAATTCAAGAAGTCCTTGCTTTTTACTGCTGAGTAGTACTCTAATATGTATATATTCCATACTTTCTCCATCCATTCTTCCATTGAAGGGCGTCTAGGTTGTTTCCAGGTTCTGGCTATTACAAACAATGCTGCTATGAACATAGCTGAGCATATACTTTTGTTGTATGATAAGGCCTCTCTTGGGTATATTCCCAAGAGTGGTATTGCGGGGTCCAGGGGTAGGTTGATCCCGAATTTCCTGAGAAACTGCCACACTGCTTTCCAATGTGGTTGCACAAGTTTGCATTCCCACCAGCAATGGATGAGTATACCCCTTTCTCCACAACCTCTCCAGCAAAGGCTATCATTGGTGTTTTTTATTTTAGCCATTCTGACAGGTGTAAGATGGTATCTTAAAGTTGTCTTGATTTGCATTTCCCTGATCGCTAAGGAAGTTGAGCATGACCTTAAGTGTCTTTTGGCCATTTGAACTTCTTCTGTTGAGAATTCTCTGTTCAGCTCAGTGCCCCATTTTACAATTGGGTTGATTAGCCTTTTACGGTCTAGTTTCTTGAGTTCTTTATATATTTTGGAGATCAGACCTTTGTCTGTTGCGGG